AGCATGTACCGCCTACCGAAATCAGCCAGGGCCCCATCTCAGGCTGTCAGCGACATCCTCATCCACTGCACATCCGCACAAGACAAGCGGGCACTCCTGGCAGCACTACGGGACCACACACCCTACCAGTTTGAGGGCTCAGGTCTGTCATTTTATCAAGACCTATCACGGTCCACCTTACAGTGGAGGCGCACAATGCTCCCAGTAACAAGCCGGCTCAGGAATGCTGGAATAGCATACCGCTGGACCCCACCAAGATCGCTCAGTGTGCTCCACAACGGGACAGCTCACACTATATTCTCGGCAGAGGAAGCTCCAGCCCTATTTGGGAGAATGGGACTCTCCGCACCTCCTGATGACTCAGCCAGCACCCACTCATGGGACCCGACCACCATAGTCCCCTTCACCCCAGGACGCCAACAACACGAACCACGGAAGGGAACAGGACTGAATACCTAAACACGGCTCACGTAAACAACCAAGGGCCGCATTATCACTGTTTTTGTACAAGTATTTTGTTACAAGTTTTTATCCCTGTTTGATACACTTACAAATGCTTGCCTCACTATCAGGGTCTTCTTAAGATAGGACACATAGGAGGGGAGTTACAACCCCCAACCCCACTGTAACGGCTACCCAGCTGTAGAGGGGTATCGGCCGTTGGAGATGTCCTTTTCTGTGCAAGCTGCTGTGTAGTAATAGAGTCCTTGCTCCCATCCACGATATCCCAGGGTATAATCCGGCAGTACTGAAAAATGAGGCAGAGTAGTGGCACCATAAATCCCCTCCAAGAACGAGACGAGGCTACGTTTTGAAGGGTCAAGTAGAACTGAGGTCTGGGAGAACCAGCCTGCTTTTTATTAGGAACAAGTACACACAGGACACTCCCAGGGGGAGTAAACACATAACATAATTATAACGTACATAAATTTACCCACATTCTGGATGTACCCCAAAAACAGGGGGTACACCTTTAAGTCCAGCACCGCTTAATAGCTACCACTCAGGGGAATAACATATTCAAATTTCAAGTCATTCGGTTGTGGGGTTCGGGAGTTATGGGTCTTTGAAGTTTTGACCGACCGCACAGGATTTTCAGCCGAAAAGAGTTCCACAAGTTTTGGCCTTGCGGTCGGTCCCCGTTCGTGAATAAAAACCCCACGAACCCCTTGCCCTCCACAGTAATCCTGCCGTTCGCCTGAATCCCCATGCATGCTTAAACAAAACTACCGAACGGCCGGTCGTTCGGTAGTTTCAGCACGAACTTACGAGCTCCTGGAGGTCTCAGCGGCGTTCGCCTGTTTGCGTATCCGTTTTTAGTTCCATGCGTTCACAGGCAAACACCGCCGTTCGTGCGTAAGATGGCCGCGAACACGTGTAAAGTCCCGAAATGGCGGCCACCTATTCTCAGACAAAGGGATTCGTCTGAACCATGCGAACGGCTCCACAATCGCTGGGAGGTAAGATAGTAATTAACTGTTCCCCTGGGTGGTCTGATGTTCGGTATTTTGGGTAGCAATAGTTGTACGAACACCAGTCATTCGGTTCTGTTTAAACTCCCCAGCAGCACTGTAGATTAAGTTCAGGCAAAACAGTACAGGGTTCTGTTACACTGCTCCCCTTTTGTGGAACACTCCGGCAGACCCGGATTGATCCTTTTCGGGTCGACTTGGGGCTGTCCGGTCTTAGTCAAGGTAAAAGTTCTGTTTGCCTGGACAGTCCGTCTGCATTCCCATTAAACCGGCCAGGGCGATACTGAATGGAGAAGTTGTATGGTTGTAGTGCCAAGCTCCATCTTAGTAATCGTCCATTGTCCCCAGCCACTCAGTTCAGCCAGACTAGGGGGTTATGATCTGTGATCAGCGTGAATTCTTGGCCGTAGAGGTATGGGGTGAGCTTCTTTAGGGCCCAAACCAGGGCTAGACACTCCTTTTCCACTGCCGCGTAACTCACTTCCCGAGGTAATAGTTTCCTACTCAGGTACGCGACAGGGTGTTCCCCTCCATCTTCCCCGACCTGGCTCAGAACTGCCCCCAGTCCGTACATGGACGCATCTGTATGGACAACAAATCTTTTGTTAGGGACGGGGGCAGACAAAACCGGTGCGTTGATCAGGGCTTGCTTCAGGGTTTGGAATGCTGTTTCGCAGGCGGGAGACCACAGGACTACTCTTGGCAAATTTTTCTTTGTCAAATCGGTCAGGGGTTTGGCGATGGTGCTGTAGTCAGGGACAAATTTCCTGTAATATCCTGCTGTCCCTAAGAATGCCAGTACTTGGGTCTTGGTGTGGGGTGTGGGCCAGTTGGCTACAGCCTCTACCTTTGCGGGTTCTGGTCGCTGTTTCCCACACCCTACCCTGTGTCCCAAGTACTGTACTTCGGCCATTCCGAAATTACACTTCTCTGGTTTCAGAGTTAGGCCTGCGGCCCTAATCTGATCCAGCACAGCCTCTACATGTCTCAAATGTTCTTCCCAAGTCTCACTATAGATCGCAATGTCATCCAGGTATGCGCATGCGAATTCCTGGAAGCCATCAAGGAGGCGATCCACTAAGCGCTGAAATGTAGCTGGGGCGTTCTTCATCCCGAATGGCATGACCTTAAATTGGTACAAGCCAAATGGGGTGACAAACGCCGACTTAGGGATAGCGTCCTTGGCCAGGGGGATCTGCCAGTACCCTTTGCACAGATCGATGGTGGTCAGATAGCGTCCCCTGGCAATACGATCTAATAGTTCGTCTACCCGGGGCATGGGGTAGGCGTCTGTCACGGTCCTATCATTGAGGCGTCGATAATCGACACAGAATCTGGTCGTCCCGTCCTTTTTGGGGACTAGGACAACTGGGGAGGCCCAGGGGCTGTCGGACGGTTCTATGACTCTAAGTCTTAGCATCTCCTGAATCTCCTTTCTCATTTCCTCCTTTACAGCCTCAGGGATTCTATAGGGAGTCTGTCTAAGTGGGGTCTGTCCTGGTGTCTCCACATAATGTGTCGCTAAGGGTGTGTAACCTGGCTCCTGAGAGAATGTCAATCCTTTCTCAGTTAGCAATTGTTGGAGTTGCTCCCTTTCCGTGGGAGTTAACCGCTCCCCCAGCTGTACTGTATTAAGCAGAGTTTTAGGCTCGGAGTCTGCTAACAGATCCGGGATGGGGAGACTGTCAGGGTCTTCAGTGGCCGGGATACATATGGCCGCTATATCTTCGGGCCTTTCTTGGTACTCTTTTAACAAATTGACATGAAAGGACTTCTGGACCCTTTCGTCTTGGCTACTGGCAATTACATAGGTGGTGTCACATATCTGGGCCACTACCTTGTAAGGGCCTTGCCAGGAGGTCTGTAGCTTGTTTCCCTTGACCGGTCTAAGTACCAGAACCTCCTGACCTACTTGGAACGTTCTCAGCCGGGCGCCCCGATCGTACCAGTGTTTCTGACGGCCCTGGGCTGCCTGGAGATGTTCTCGGGCCATTCTGGCTAGGTGCCCCATGCGGTCCCGCATCTCCAGTACATAAGGTACGATAGGAACGCCCTCATGCTCCATCTCTCCCTCCCAGTGCTCTCGGATGAGGTCGAGGGGGCCTCGCACTCGCCGTCCATAGAGCAGCTCGAAGGGAGAGAACCCTGTGGATTCCTGGGGCACCTCTCGATATGCAAACAAGAGGTGCGGCAAGAATCGCTCCCAGTCTCTGTATTCCGCTGTAAAGGTCCGCAGCAATTGCTTTAGGGTACCATTAAAGCGCTCACAGAGACCGTTAGTCTGGGGGTGGTACGGGGAACTGAGCAGGGTCTTGACACCACAGACCTTCCACAACTGTTGTGTTAGGTCTGCGGTGAACTGGGTCCCTCGGTCGGATAGGATTTCCTGAGGGAATCCCACTCTGGTGAATATCCCAACTAGGGCACTGGCGACAGTGTCAGCCTGGATATTCGTCAGAGCGACAGCCTCTGGGTAGCGGGTAGCATAGTCCACTACTGTAAGAATATACTTCTTACCCGAGGGACTGGGGTTAGGTAGGGGTCCCACTAGATCGACTGCCACCCGGCTAAACGGTTCCTCAATCACGGGCATGGGTGACAGTCGAGCTTTAGGGTGGTCCCCTCTCTTTCCTACTCGTTGGCATGTATCACAGGTACTGCAGTAACGCCGCACGTCCTTTGAGATCCCAGGCCAGAAAAAGGTCTGTGTGATCCTGTAGGCGGTGCGGTTACCCCCTAAGTGTCCTGCCAACGGAATGCCATGTCCAATTCTGAGAAGTTCCAACCGGTACTTTCTGGGTACCACTAGTTGGCGCTTCTGCGAAGGGATACAGCCTCTCCTCCTACCTTGTGTCAACCGGTATAATCTGTCACCTTCCCATATAAAACGTTCCCGCTCATCCCCCCCACTGTCGGCTAATTCCCGATACTTTTGGAGAGTGGAGTCCTGTCTAGTCTCCCTCCCAAACTCCTCTGGGGTGTCCCAAGCTATGGGTCTTTCTACTGTGTTAGGGCTGAATGCCTGTTTGTGGCTTACCTGGGTCTCCCGGTCTGCTGGAGAATCGTCTTCGATACGGGTCTGTGAGCGGGTGGTCACGGGACAGGCAGCAGCAGTCGTGGGTAGATAAGCTGAAGCCAGAGGGCCAATGTCGTTGCCCAACACGACTTCAGCAGGTAAATTGTCCATGATCCCTACTGTGGTCTTTCCCGACCCGACTCCCCAATCCAAGTGTACCCGGGCAGTGGGTAAACGAAAAACAGCCCCCCCAGCGACACGGACAGCAACAGTGCGTGTAGATACATGCTCCGGTTTCACAAGATGTTTCTGTACCAAAGTGTCCCTTAGGCCTTGTGCCACCTGCCCATTTACACGCACCTCCTGGCGGTGATGCTGGCGGTTATCTGGGGATGCAGCTTGTATGGGGTTTGCCTCGTATAGGATGCCCAAACACTCCTCAGGGCTCCCTTCTGTTTCCAGGCAGTGAGCAGCAGAGGTGCGTGATGAAGGGGTCTCTGTGTTATTGGTTGATCGCCTCCAGTTGTTATTGGCTGATCCCAAGGGGCAATAACGAGCAATATGTCCCGTGTTGCCGCAGCGATGGCACGTAATTTTGTAAGCATCCCGGGGTTGGTTGTTAGACCCCTGAGGACGTGGGGGTCCTGGGGGTACTGGGGCCCGAAATTCTGTGCGTGCAGCGGGCGTTGGGGTGCGTGGCTCTGCCCTAGAGGTTGGTCGTGTGGACCCTTGGCTCACCTTTCTCGACTCTGCGTATTCGTCCGCTAGCCGCGCTGCCTCGATTAAGTTAGTAGGGCGACGATCTCTCACCCAATCCTGTATGTCTGCTGCCAGATCTTGGAAGAAATGTTCCATTAGGAATAGCTGTAGTACTTCCTCTCCGGTGTTGGCATTGCACCCTCGTACCCAATGTGATGCCACCCTTTGTATCTTGTTTGCCCATTCCATGTGGGAGTCTGCAGCCTTCTTTTTAGCCTCCCTGAAGCGACGGCGATACGTTTCCGGGGTGACGGCATATCGGGTGAGCAGTGCAGCCTTCACCCGGCGATATTGTGCAATATCTTCCTCAGTAAGTGCCCGAAAAGCCTCATTTGCCTTTCCTGATAGCTTTCCGGCCAAAATAGTGACCCATTGGTCTAGTGGTACCTGGTGTAGGGAGCACTGCCTCTCAAAGTCAGCCAAATACCCGTCAATCTCTTCCTCACTTTCCACAAACGCTTTGAACGCAGTGAAGGGTATTTTCTGTCCTGTAGCAGCGGGTGGGGGCATATGAACTGCAGGTGCAATAGGTTGTCTAGCTCTTGCCAGTTCAAGTTCGTGCCCCCTCCTATTTTGTATCTCCGTTCTCGCTTCCCGGAACAGCTGATCTATTAGTTCCACGGATGTCGCTGGGTACATGGATAATCTCCGCTGAACAAGATTTGTAATTTCCTCCTCCTCGCTGACAGGGTTAGGTTGGTCTGCGACCTCCATGGATCGATCCATCTCGTCCAGCTCCAGTAGGTCAGCTATCAGCTCTCTCCGTGGTCGGTTGCTGGCACTCCTTCCTCTGGTTTCCAATAGATCCTTTAGTGTGGGTCTTTTCAGCTTGGCGTACTGGGATTCCATTCAGCACTTGCTTTGGGGATGAAAAGGACCATCCCACCGCTACCACCAATGTAACGGCTACCCAGCTGTAGAGGGGTATCGGCCGTTGGAGATGTCCTTTTCTGTGCAAGCTGCTGTGTAGTAATAGAGTCCTTGCTCCCATCCACGATATCCCAGGGTATAATCCGGCAGTACTGAAAAATGAGGCAGAGTAGTGGCACCATAAATCCCCTCCAAGAACGAGACGAGGCTACGTTTTGAAGGGTCAAGTAGAACTGAGGTCTGGGAGAACCAGCCTGCTTTTTATTAGGAACAAGTACACACAGGACACTCCCAGGGGGAGGATGAAAATAACCAATTACACACAGGGTAACACCCCCACGTCTCCTCCCCTCAGATAAACACATAACATAATTATAACGTACATAAATTTACCCACATTCTGGATGTACCCCAAAAACAGGGGGTACACCTTTAATCCCCATGCATGCTTAAACAAAACTACCGAACGGCCGGTCGTTCGGTAGTTTCAGCACGAACTTACGAGCTCCTGGAGGTCTCAGCGGTGTTCGCCTGTTTGCGTATCCGTTTTTAGTTCCATGCGTTCACAGGCAAACACCGCCGTTCGTGCGTAAGATGGCCGCGAACACGTGTAAAGTCCCGAAATGGTGGCCACCTATTCTCAGACAAAGGGATTCGTCTGAACCATGCGAACGGCTCCACAATCGCTGGGAGGTAAGATAGTAATTAACTGTTCCCCTGGGTGGTCTGATGTTCGGTATTTTGGGTAGCAATAGTTGTACGAACACCAGTCATTCGGTTCTGTTTAAACTCCCCAGCAGCACTGTAGATTAAGTTCAGGCAAAACAGTACAGGGTTCTGTTACACCCGCGAGTAAGGGAGCCTACCACTCACCCATCCCCCCCGCATCCCCCATGGTTAGGGGAACACCAAGCACGAGCCTCACTATCTTCCAAATCCAGTGTAGGCAACAATTGCTCACCGCCCCACTCACGCACTGCTAGATGCCCACTCAGGTACGTATAGGCTCCCAACAATCCTAACACTAAAGCGACACATTATTAACAGGGCGGCTACTCAAAACCCCTACATGCCATAGGGCCCACTCCTCACCACCCAGGGTCTTCACAGCCCCAAAGAACACCAAAGATCCCAATCGGATCTCTCCAGTAGGATCTCCGGCACAAGATCTAGTAGCTACTAAGATGCAAAATGCCCAGCGACACACCTTAACACTAAAGGTACATAGCAAGTACCAGAGATACAGCTCACAGCCCGCGTCAGGTAATACTGCACTAAATAATATTTCTTCCTGATTTACAGCTCCCATAATACAACTCGAGCTCAGACAGCTAGAGGTCCGGCTCAACCAGTTAAATCTATGGTAACACGACTATACTACTGTTTCGTTTTTTTTTTTTTTTGTCCCTATTTAAACTCCATACACATTGTCTTACCCAGTGGTATTCGTAGCCTATAACAACTGTATTTTGGCCCCAACCCAGCGGCATGAAAGCATGTTGTTGCTTTTCGACCCACACACTTATACATGGGGCAACCTTCACCAGCAGCCACGTAGCTTGCAACCTAACATTAAGGCCCATGTCTACCCAACAGGCTTCCCATGTTGCGAAATGGGTAAATTCCCTGAACGATAACCCGTTTATATACAATCCCAAGCTAACATATAATCCAGAAGCTGGTTATACTTGTGAAGTATGCTCTTATTATAATACTACTCCCCTTTTTTAATTCTTTTTTTCAATACCAAAAATGCCAGTGCAACTACCTGTTTTGTACCATTCTTACCTGCTTATCTTCTGCAGAGACCTACATTACCATGTTCTTACCTGTTTAAAATTGTGCAATTCAATCCTATGTCATAATACTGAATGCCTTGATTTGCTTGTTACTGCCGTCGTGGCAATGCAGGCCTGTTTGTAACCATTTTTGCACAACAAAAATAAAGAATATATAAAAAAAATAAAAAAAAAATAAGAAAATCTAATGACATGGCCTTCTTGTTCACCTGATCTGAACCCCATTGAGAACCTGTGGTCCATCATCAAATGTGAGATTTACAAGGAGGGAAAACAGTACACCTCTCTGAACCGTGTCTGGGAGGCTGTGGTTGCTGCTGCACGCAATGTTGATGGTGAACAGATCAAAACACTGACAGAATCCATGGATGGCAGGCTTTTGAGTGTCCTTGCAAAGAAAGGTGGCTATATTGGTCACTGATTTTTTTTTGTTTTGTTTTTGAATGTCAGAAATGTATATTTGTGAATGTTGAGATGTTATATTGGTTTCACTAGTAATAATAAATAATTGAAATGGGTATATATTTGTTTTTTGTTAAGTTGCCTAATAATTATGCACAGTAATAGTCACCTGCACACACAGATATCCCCTAACATAGCTATAACTAAAAACAAACTAAAAACTACTTCCAAAAATATTCAGCTTTGATATTAATGAGTTTTTTTGGGTTCATTGAGAACATGGTTGTTGTTCAATAATAAAATTAATCCTCAAAAATACAACTTGCCTAATAATTCTGCACTCCCTGTATTTATGTAATATTTTTACATAATTAAGTCATTTTATTTACAATTTGCGGGACCTGTCTGATAACTCAGGCAGAAAGTCCTGAGAATTTCATTTGCTAGCACTATATTTAACCCTTGTGTTTCATTTTTTTCACATTGAAAGTCGCCAGTTTGGTTACGTTGCCTTTGAGACCGTATGGTAGCCCAGGAATGAGAATCACCCCCATGATCTCCAAAATTGGCGTTCAAATTATTTTTTTGCATTTTTCACACACAATCAAATATGTACGCTAACTGTGGCCAGTGTTTGTGACTACGTGGCTACTATGGGGGTATTTCTCATTTCTGGGCTACCATAAGGTCTTTGCATCTTTTCCCAAGTTGTGTTTCAAAGCTGCTGTATATAGCAAATACAGACTCAAAGGAATCTATGTTTAAAATGTAATGAGGCAAAAATTAGATTCTTTGTTAAACAAATTTTCATATGCCCACACAGAATCCTTTGCGATAGTAACAGTAACATCACTGCAAATTTGTGATTTCTATGGGAAAAGCAATTCTTATGGCTTGACTGGTGTGCAGATTTGTGTTTAACATTGTTTTAACTATCCACAGACTTCAGGTGCAATGGGTTTTCCATCACAATTTTTTCCTCACCATAACCTTTTTAGTTTTTGCTATATAAATATATATATAATATAAATGTAAAAAAACAAAACAACAATTTATTTATATATACGCACACACTCTACATATATATTTAACTATTAACTACATAATTATTTGATTTTATTAATTATAATTTGAGGGACCTGCCTGACAACCCAGGTAGACAGTCCAGAGAATTTAAATTGGCATGCTCTATATCTACCCTGTAACTTTCCAAAACACCATAAAACCTGTACATGGGGGTATTTTTATACATGGGAGACGTCGCTGAACACAATTATGAGTGTTTAAAACAATGAAACTTATCACGACGATGAAATCACCAGTAAGAGTGCATTTTTTTGTGTAAAAAAAATGCAAAAAATTATATAAATGCTAACTTTGGCAAGCGTTTGCGGCTACTACAAAAGACTGGACATACCCCATTTTCAATACCCTGGGTTGTCTACTTTTTTAAATGGTATGTCGTGGTGGGGTTAATTTTCATTTCTGGGCTGCCTCACAGTCTCAAAGGCAAACATAGCCATACTGGCAAATGGCAATTTACAAAAACAGAAATTGGCAAATCTTATGTAACTTTCCAAATCACCACAAAACCTGTACTTGAGGTGTACTGTTGTACTCATGAGACATTATTATACACAAATATGAGTTTTAGAGCAGTAAAATGTTTTATACTGATAATATCATTGGTGAAATGGCAGTTTGTGTGAAAAATGCAAAAAAACTAATATAAACACAAATTTTGGCCAAGGTTTGGGACTAAGTGGCTACTAAAAAAGACTGGACATACCCCATTTTAAATACAGAGGGTTATCTACTTTTACAAATGATATGCAATGATGGGGTTAATTTTCATTCCTGTGCTGCCATACAGTCTCAAAGGCAACATAGACCCAGCAAACCAATCTGGCAAATTTCATTGTGCCAATATGGGAAAGGGGAATACCCTACATTTGACCCCTGTAAGTGTGCAAAAACCCATAAAACCTGTACATTGGGAGTACTGTTGTATTCAGGAGATTTTGATGAACACATATCGGGGTGTTCTTTGTCAGTAACATATTACAGGAGCTGAGAATCCATGGCTAAAGTACAATGAGAGAGAAAAATATCACAATAAAATTACCACCCAAACATTTGACAAAGACTGGTGGTAAAATTAGTGCATGGAAAGTGTTAAAATACCACCATTTGAAATACCATAGGGTGTCTACTTTTCAAAAATATATAGTTTGATGGGGGTAAATTACATTGGCTTGCTTCAAAAATGTCCCAAATAGGACATAGGTGCATGATGACCAGCTGTGAAAATTCCAAGTTGCAAAACTGGAATGCGCACCCTCCAAATAAGGTCTTTTAGCCTCCCGAGAACCCAACACACCTATACTTGGGTTGTATCACTGTACTCGGGAGATGTTGCTGAACACATATGTTCTTTGGCAGTAACCCTTCATTTTTTCAGTATTTGTATTGTTATGCTATGCGTGTCAAAAAAAAAATCACCAATAATTTTTTTTTTGGCATATGGTGGCAGTACCATCTTTTTAGGGTTTGCCCCTTTCCTGTGGGAGAAGCACCTTACAAGCACCACAGTTAAATATAATCAAGCAAAACCCTCCCCCTTGCCCTATAAAGGGCTACCAGGCAAACCTACCCAGTTTCCTTTCTTGTCCCTTCAGGGACGGACATGGCATCTAGGAGGTGAGACACACAGGTTGCTGGTCTGGGGGATCCGGCCCGAGAGCTGCCCGGGTGGTGAGTTGAGTGGCCATGCTCCTGCCTCTGTAGTTACGGAGCGAAGACTGTGGATCCTTCTTATGCCGAGACTGGTTCCGGCGTTTCTTCCTGGAGTCGGTCCTGGGCGCAGGTATGACTATTTAAACCCTGCGCACAGCGGTGGAACGCACACCCAGGTGGTGATGCGTTACACCTAAAGTTCCGGTTGTGCTATTGCGCATGCGCAAAACCGAAACTTTATTTAAAAAAAAAAACAAAAACGCGAAAATTGCATTTCAGGCATTTAAAAAGCTGTGCAAGTACCCACTGACAGCATGGATGTTTGCCAGAAGAGGTACGCGTGTCACCAGCCCCCCACACAACTTAGAGGTATTTTAAGGTGAGATTAGCTAAATCTTTACTTTAAAATGTTCTCTGTAGAATTTTACAAATCTAGAAGGTTTAGAACAAATTTTAAAGTGCCATTTTTCGTTTTTTTTTTTCACAGATATGTCTAGTCCTGATTTTCCTGATATGGAGAAGGAGAAAGTGGCAGCGTCTACGCCTAGAAAGGCTACATCAAAGTCTAAGCATTTAACTTGCAGTGAGTGTGCAACTCCGCTTCCAGAAGGTACAAGGAAAAAAGTATGCAATCAGTGTACTGCAAATTCCTTGGAAAAGTCTAAACAGAAAGACATGCAATCTTTCCTAGCCTGGTTTCAGGATAATTTGGCCCAGACACTGGAGACTATTAAAGAATCCAAGAAGGCTGATACTGCAATTCCTGAAATAAGTCAGAAGGTTAAGAAAAGGAGGAGATCATCTTCTGTGTCTGATACGTCATCTGGTTAATGTTCTGTTTCTACAGATTCAGATGTATCTAGTTCATCCTCAGGTGAAGTTCTGGGGTTCCCTTCAGATGAACTACGCAGGTTTATGAAGGAAGTTAACCTGGCCTTGATACCAGAGGTGTCTACAAATTCTAAAAAGGGTTTTCCTGTCAAACAGCCTCTCATTGATTTGATCTTCAGAGAATGGAAAAATCCTGAAAAACAAGCATTTTTTTCTCGACACTTTAAGGAAATTTTTAAAATCACGGGTGATGAGATTTGGGAAGAGCGGCCTAAAGTGGATGTACAGGTGGCTCAACTTTCTAAAAAAACACTATCCCTATAGGGGAAGTTTCAGTCTTAAAAAACCCTATGGATAAAAGAGCTGAGACCTCCTGCAGGCGAATCTATCAGGCGGCTGGTTTTCAATGCAAAGCCTTACTGGCAGGAGCAGCGGTAGCCAGAGCAAATGTAGTTTGGCTCAACACGTTATGAGATATGATGCTTGAGGATCAGGATAAGCACCTTATCCGTATGTCGAATGAACGCGGTTGTTGAATTAATTTTTGATGGATATGTCGGTGGAGGTTTTGAAACTGGCAATTAGGATAATGGAATTATCATCAGTGGCAAGGCGAGCCTTATGGTCATGGACGGCTGATACAGCATCAAAATCTGTCCTTTGAGAGCTTCCCTTGGACAAGCAGAAGCTGTTTGGGTCTCCCTTAGAGGAAAATATTAAACAAATGTCAGAAACTAAAAAGGTTCTTTCTCAAGACAGAAAGTTCTCTTGGAAAGAAGGTAACAGGAACTTCCATTATAGAAACAGGAAAACCTACCAAGAGAGGCCTCATTATTTTCAAAGAAAAGAAAAAAATCGATGTTTTGAACAAAGAGGCAATTTCAAGAGACCTTACAGAGCAGATAAATGTAAACGGTTCTGATGCCAGAAGAGTGGGAGGAAGAAGCCAACGGTTCTATTGTACATGGGAAAGAACTACAAGCAATCCATGGATTCTAAATCTAATTCAATACGGCTACAAGATACTCTTCCCAAAGAAGCCAAGATCAAAATTTCTCATTTCTGCTTACCTGTCATCAAAAAAGTTGGAGGCCCTTATTTCCCAATCTATTCTACTTTTTCAAAAAGGAGTCATAGAGAGAGTACCGGAACATCAAAAGTTCCATGGTGTGTATTCAAGACTATTCCTAGTTCCAAAACCAGACCACTCCTTTCGTCCTATTCTGGATTCAAAGGTTTCTCATGGAGTCGATTGCCTCTATAATTCCAGTCCTGCAGGAAGGCGACTTCATGGTAAAAATAGACCTGAAGGATGCATATCTGCATATCCCTATTGCGGTTTCATCAAGAAGATTCCTAAGGTTGCAGTAAAAAGGTCCTTCGACCATTACCAGTTCAGGGCTCTTCCGTTTGGTCTATCATCTGCCCCAAGGATATTCACCAAGATTTTGACTCCCATTACAGCTTGCTTAAGATCTAGATCTAGACAGGTGTATCCATCATCCCATATCTGGACGACTGGCTTCTCATAGCAAGAACTAGACAGCTGCTTCTCAACGACCTGCAGATCACCATCAAGCTGTTACAGGATCATGGTTGGATCCTGAATTTAAAAAAATCAGTCCTCATTCCAACAAGGGAGATAGAGTTCCTCGGTCTCAGGATCAATTCAAGCACTTTGTCGGTTTATCTTCCCAAACAAAAAGAGGAAGAAGATTCGAGGAATAGTTTTCACTCTTCGAAAAGAAGAAAGTTGTTCTTTCAGACACGCTATGAGCGTTCTAGGTTTCCTAACATACGCTTTTCCCGCAGTCAAGTGGGCAAAGTCCAATGTAAGGCCTCTACAGTTGGAGATTCTGACAGCCTGGTTGAGAAAGGAAGAAGATCTAGACAGATGGTTCCAGATATCCCCTCATGTAAAGGCTCATCTGTCTTGGTGGAAAACCTCAGGGTGCCTTTCCAGAGGCTTGTCTTTCCGTCCAAAGAGCTGGTTGGTAATCACTACGATGCTTCCAAGACCGGTTGGGGAGCTCATCCAGGCACCATCATGTTTCAAGGTACTTGGTCAGTCAGGGAAATAGAAGAATCCGCAAATTTCAATATGTTAAAAGCCGTACAGTTCGCCCTACATCACTTCAGGCCATGGATACAGCAGAAGGCTGTAATAATTCAATCAGACAATTGCACAGTGGTCTCATACGTCAACCGACAAGGAGGAACCAGAGTGAGGACACTTTATCTCCTGTGCGCAGAAATCATGGATTGGGCACAAAGATATCTAGAAGATATTTCAGCGGTATACATCAGAGGGATCGACAGTGTCATAGCCGACGATCTCAGCAGGGGAAAGTGGGATCAGAAAGAATGGTCCTTAAATCCAAGTATATTTAACAGTCTGACAAGAAGGTTTGGAGTTCCAGAAATAGACCTGATGGCAAGAAGTACGAACAACAAGGTCCCCAAATTTGCCTCCCAGTTCAGAGCGGATCACCCTCAGTGGATAGACAGTCTATCAATGGAGTGGAACTTCAGGCTGGCCTACATCTTTCCTCCACTGAAGCTAATCTCAAGGATTCTTCAGAAAATAAGAACAGACGGAGCGGTGATATTAGCTATCATTCTGGTTCTCGGCTTTGAAGAGGATGGCCTCCGCACATTGGGAACTTCCAATCTCGAACGACCTCATTTTGAACAGGAATCTACCTCTAGAGATTCTGAAGATGTTCAGGTTGACGCCCTGGCTACTGCGAGGCTAATTCTTCGTAATCCGGGTCTACAAGAAGACAGAATTGCTATTTTGCTGCGATCTACCAGACAGTCTACTTCAAATATATATTTTCGGATATGGGTCAGGTTTCTTCATTGGTGTAAAGAGCACCATTGCCTGAGTGTTCATGCATCTCTGGAAAACATTCTTCATTTTCTACAAGATGGATTTTCTGCTGGTTTAGGGGTATCTACTCTTAAAGTTCAGATCTCAGCCTTAAGTTTCTTCCTGATTAAGGATTTTGCATCCCATGTGTTCATCAGAAGATTTTTTAGATCCATCAGGCTCAGATGTCCTCCTTAGGAGGACATCTGAGCCTGATGGATCTAAAAAATCTTAGGAGGACATCTGAGCCTGATGGATCTAAAAAATCTTCTGATGAACACATGGGATGCAAAATCCTTAATCAGGAAGAAACTTAAGGCTGAGATCTGAACTTTAAGAGTGTTTCCCTCCTGGGATTTATCCCTAGTTTTACAGGCTCTCTGTGAACCACCCTTCGAAACTTTGGAAGAGGTGCTCTTAAAAGTTCTGTCCCTAAAAGTTGCCTTTCTGGTGGGCATCACATCGGCTAAGAGAGTCGGTGAACTTCAAGCACTCTCCTTCTTAGATGAATTTACAGTGTTCCACATGGGCAAGGTTGTTCTTCATACTAAACCTTTCTTTTTTGCCTTAGGTCTTGTCCTCTAAGACCGTGAATCAACCTATTGTTTTGCCTTCGTTTTGTTGTAATGCCTCCTCTCCCCAGGAACTTAAATGGCATAATTTGGATGCATTGCAGATTTATCTTTCTAGAACTAAGGAGTACAGGAATTCTGACCACCTGTTTGTTAACTTTCAGGGCAAATTCAAGGGGAAAGAAGCTTCCCGCAATTCTTTGTCTCGTTGGCTCATACAGGCTATTGGATTGGCATATTCAACAGGAGGTCTTCAAGTTCCAGCTGCTCTCAAGGCTCATTCCACTCGAGCTATGGCTGCCTCATGGGCAGAGATGGCTCTTGCTTCTCCAGAAGACATCTGTAAGGTGGCATCTTGGTCTTCCTTCAAGCACTACAGGCTAGACATATTCTCTTCCTCTAAAGCGGCCTTTGGGCGTAAGGTGTTACAAGCGGTAGTGGCATAGGACCCGCCCGGATTGGGATCTTGCTATATCCCGATGGTACTGCCACCATATGCCGTAAATTATTTTTTTCTTAATATGGTGGCAGTACAGCTTCCCTCCCTCTATATTAAATATTTTTTTACTTGCAGTACATGATTTGTCTGTGTTTTTCTTGCTACTTACTGGGGTAGTTTTGCCTGGTAGCCCTTTATAGGGCAAGGGGGAGGGTTTTGCTTGTATATATTTAACTTGTTAGATGCTTGTCCCACAGGAAAGGGGCAAACCCTAAAAAGATGGTACTGCCACCATATTAAGAAAAAAATAATTTACGGTAAGTAAAAATTTCTGTTTTTATTTATTTGGCATAGATTGGTGGTAAAATGGCTGCATGAAAAGAGTCAAAATACCCCAAGTTTAATACTTTAGGTTGTCGACAGATATCAATGTTACAATATAACTTTAGTTAATTTTGAAAAAAAAAATGGTTTGAAAATAGCAAAGTGCTACTTGTACTTATTGCCCTATAACTTGCAAAAATAAAAAGCTAGGAGCATGTTAACATTGGGTATTTCTAAACTCAGGAAGAATACGAGCAACAGCCTGTCTTGGATTTTCATGTATCAGGGGTAGACTGCAGTCTTTAGTTCACTGGAAGGTTATGGCCATGACCTAGTGCCATGACCTGCAGCATGAACAACAGACTTTGTCCCACATTGAGGGGCGGCCCAAACCATCAACAGGGATGGACTGAGAGCATTTGGGGCCCCCAGGCAAAATTAGATTGCAGGCCCTTGGAATGCCAAATATATAAGCATTAAATAAATGTTAACTATAACTCTCATATAATATGGAAGTTCGTTTGATGTGTACAGTGTGAAGACCTGTGTATCCATGCATTTTGTATTTGAGTCTGTGTGAATGCACTTGCACATGTCTGGATGACATGTGCTTTTTGTATATAGTGTGAATGCGAATGCATATGTGTATTGAGCGTTGGTGTGTGACTGCAAATGCAGGGGTGTGCCCAAAATACTTGTCTGTCATGACAATCTTCTTGTCTTGACACAAAATAATATCAATTACAAAGATTAGGGGCCCTTGCCTAGAGCCATGGACATCGACAAAGCTATTTGCTAAATTCATTTTCAAAAAAATTTATCTGACTGGATAAATGGAGGCACAAATAGCTGATCTAGCTTACATTTTCATTTTACAATTTGGATTTCTTTAGCAAAAATCACAAGTTTAGCCAATTACCCTGAGTATAGTCTCTCTCTTTGTCATAGTGTGTGCTGGCTGCATATGTTGTGTGCTGCCTGTATGTATGCACTGTGTGCATGTGTGCTGCCTGTATGTAATGTATTTCTATGTTTGCGGCTTGTATGTATGTAATGTGTGTGTGCTGCCTGTATGGACTGACAAAATCCCTTTTTCCTGTGACTTTGCCACAAATTTTTGGAGGGGACATTTTCCAGCCTCCTACCCTGTGACTATGGCCCCTGCAATAGACCTGGCTAAAATACTTTAAAAAGCTCTGTTCATGTGAAGTATGTACTTTTGTACTACAGACATAGAGACCAACCGTTAGCACTAATTCTCTGGAACTGTTTTGGTCATGGGACCATGTGTCTTATTTTTGATCAGTCAAAAATAAGACTACCAGGAATTTCCTGAACCCCTGCTCTGATCTGGGTGATTTTTGGATATTTTGTTGACCCAGATCAGGGCTATCAGGGGATGTAACATGGGGATATGTTGTGTTTTGGGGTAGTTATGTGCTGTGTGTGGGAGTGTCGTATATTTAATTACTGTTCTGATTGGTTTGTAAGCTTTGTGTTCCTTTCCGCCTGTCCACCTTGCTTGGGGACTTACATAAAATGCCAACTGTGGCTTCCATTAAACACACTTGTTTTACCCTTCATGAAGTCTTGGCTCATGTTTGGGGTATTGGAGAACTACATGCACTCTGAGGATTGCTATATCACAATACTCCCCTGAGTATAATCACTAGCTATTCTAAGAGCTGTTCCTGCTACGCTCTCCCTAGGAGAGGCCTACCCACTGGAAGCTGGATCCTTGTCTTGGGTCCAGGGTGGATGGAGGACGGCGAGAACCAAACCAAGCTGCGGCGGTTTGTGGGATCTGCAGTGCTTATGGTGTCTGGAGGAGTGCTTGGAGCTCTCGGTGAGCCCTAGGAGCATCCATCGACGGAGGTACCCAACCGGGGTACAGGAAGCTCCATTACAGTCTCTCTTCTATTTTTGTATTCCTTTCATTAACTTTTCTCTCCCCATCTTCTATAGATTTAAGAGATTTTTAAAAAAAAACATTTGCCTTTCCAGTTGGACAGCTCTGTGATCTGAGCTCTTCAGCATGGCTGTGCAGCCGGACCCCTGGCTGTCTCGAGCCCTCGGTTCATGCCCAATGTGCCTGAGTGGTCAGTCCGCCCTTGACCAGCACTAAAGCTGCTGCCGGCGTTCCCCCTTGAGAAGTGCCCGAGGTTGCCGCCTAATCGTTTTGTGTACCTCTGGATTTCTTGACCTCAGTTTGTTGTCTTGACTTTCTATTTTTGCCTATCTTGAGCACCACCTGAAGAATGGCCACTTTATGGTATGCCAATCTGCTCCTTTATTACCTCCTGTTCCCTTACTGTGTACCTATTCTCTACATGTTAGGGCCACCTATCCTGACAATACAGCTGATTTTATGGTAAAGTTACCTAAAAGATGGGTGTCAGATGTTTGGGTAGGGATTGCAATACCAGCGCTTGCTATAGATGATGGTTTCAGTAGGTATGCCTTTGTCTAGGCAGGTGCCTTCAGTTGCTTTATGTTTAATCTGGCAAAGCCTAGCTCTGCAGGAAATGCCTCTGAGTTTTTGTTTTCCTTCCCTAGTTTGATAGGCAATTTAGCAAAACTTGTGGGTAAATTGAAAAACTCTTATTATTTTCACAGGTCCTTATGTATATTAGTACACATGTTACTGTTTCATTTTTGCATGTAAGAATGGTTTACTATAAATTACCAAATAAAAGGTACACAATGATAATTCCCACACCATTCAGTTTCAGAAATGGTTACATTGTGCTAAATCATTAGCTTTTTGATACTATTATTTCAGATTTCATTGCATCCAGAATTCACATCATTATATACGTTTCTCTGCTGGGAGACAGAGCGTTTGTTTCTTGAATGTTAATTATTTCCCAGAGCAAACCATTACCCAAAGAAAATGTCTTCTCTTCAGCTCGAAGTGTATATAAATTCCTATCACGTACAGCTAAATCTCATGAACGCTTTCTAAATTCAAGTTGATTAATACAATGTAACAAGTAAATATTAGGTGTCAGAATAGCTTACACCACCATTTTCCAAATAGGGTTTCCCAAAACATACAGCCTTCATGACCGAGCAACATAAATAATTTGCTGATCTTGGTGTTACAATGGTTATCACAGTCATGTACACTGTTTAACCATGCATCTGGCTAAGTCTATATCCACGTCCCAGTATTCTGATGTTGTAATCACTACTGTAGCAACATGCTCACATGATGCATGTAATATAAAGTGCTATGGAATCTGTTGGCGCTATATAAATGACGATAATAAGATTGACATTTGGTGTGTCCCCTCCCAGATCTTAACCTAGTTTTAGCTCATCTTGTGCCATTACAACAGGAATTTAGGCCATTTGCAAGTAAGACTGCCCCTCATAAAGGCGTTCCAGGTCTAAAATGCAGGCCAGCACCCTCTGTAAAAGACATGCAGTAACCCCAGCCAATTATGCAACTATCCAAGGTCAGGTGACGCCACCCCCCTCATTGTGTGCCCCTTGAAAAAAAACGTACCTTTGTCAAGCCAGTTTTGTGAATGGGGAGTCACTGATAGGCAGGGCCGGTGCAAGGATTTTTGCCGCCCTAGGCAAAAGAAAGATTTGCCGCCCCCCCCCTCCACCCCCACCCCGGGACATCGCAATGCCCCACCCATATGATCTGCCATATGAACTAGTGCCAGTGCTGCACACAGTGTATATTTACATTAAAAAGCCTGCAGGGACAAACTATATACACCAGAACAACTTTATTAAGCTGCAGTGGTTCTGGGGACTATAGTGTCCATTTATTGTGAGGTAAATTAGAGATTAGTGTCACTAATAATATACTAGATTGCCTACTTACAATCAGATGAGGATGGTGATGGGCTCTGGCTGCAGTCTGGCTCCACTGGTCTGGTGTAGAACAGGAT